CTTAATTGCTGAAGTCTCCTGTCGTGGCAGCATATCAGGGCTGGAAAGGGGGGTGACAAGAATGACCAGTTGGAAGGTGAAAACTAAAAGGTTTCTACCTCCCTCTAGTGAAGAGCCTGCAGGGGGCAGACCAATCTCCAGAGAGCCAGTCCTTTCAGAGTTCATCCTAAATGTCTCCATGTGTTTCTCTTTGGGAGGCACCTCTTGGCTAGTTGCCAACATAAGACCATCCCTTAACAGCTTGTGGTGCTTTGACCTCCCCCAGGAAAGGTACCCCCAAACCTTTTCTGTATCAACCGAACCTCCCAGAAATGAGAATCAAAAGGACCACTTCGCACCCAGGACTTGAATCCATAACCACAGGCCTAATGTCTAGCACTAGTAATGTAAACCAATTAGTGGGTGTTGCCATTTGTAACTGAAACAGGCCATACAGGTACAACTTTCCTGATACCCAAAAGCTCATTGAAGACACAGGCAGGGTGGTTCATGCCTGTGATTTCAGTTTCCTGGAGAGTTTGAGGTAAGCCTGGGGTACAAAGTAGGTTCCAAAAGGCTAACCTGGCTACAGAATGAACCCTTCCCCCAAAGCAAAGCAACAAACAAAAGATCAACAACAGAGGGGGAAAAAACTCACTGAGGTAATTCCTTTCTAGAAACGGAGTCATTCGGTAATTTCATAGTCACTAAACTCTAACAAGAAGTTAACAATAACTTTGTATTACTACCAAATCTTTACCACTAGGAAAACAGATGGAATGGTAGACATTATATGGTTCAGGATAAGTGGAGGAACAGAGGTCAGAAAATTCCTTCTATCCTGTCACTGCCAAACCCTGTGTAAGGCTTGGGGTAATGGCTTCAGATAAGTGAATTCTGTTTATTAGAAAGAGCCTCTCTGTCTGCCTCTGATCTAGTACTCACTGTCTAACTGTGGTGTTGTGAATGAAAAAGGCCCCATAGGCTCATTTATATTAGTCCCCAGTTGAAGAATTTAGGACTGTTTAGGAGATTATTAGCCCTGGTGAAGGAGGAGTGTGACTGGGGTGGAGCTTTGAGGTTTCAAAAGAACATTCCAAGACAGTCTCAGTTTGCCCCCCACCCAGCCCCCACTTCTGCCTGCCGATCAGCATGTAAACTTCTCAGCTACTGCTCCAGTGCCCCAGTGCCATGCCTACCAGCTTCCCACCATGGACAAGCCCCCTGAAACTGTAGTTGAGTCCCCCCTAATTAAATACTTTCTCAGAGTAGCAGTGGTCTTTCACAGTTCTGGCCTTGAACTCCTAGCAATCCTCCAACCTCAGCTTCTTTAATCCTGAGATTATAGAAGGAGACCTACAAAACTGCAAATGAGACACTAAGTGTTTTGTTTGTTTGTTTGTTTGTTTGTTTGTTTGTTTGTCTGTCTGTTGAGATAGGGTCTGATTTGGCCCAGGCCAGCTTTAAGCAGTTCAGGTATGACCTTGAACTCCTAGTGCCCGGGCTTCTACCACCAGACAGGACTGGAATTCCATACCACCACCCCAGCTTCTTTTGTGATTCTGGGAAGCAAACCTAGGGCTTCCTGCATGCCAGGCAAGCTTGTTACCAGCTGAGCTACATCCCAGCCTGGTAAGATTTCTAAGGTTCCTTTTACTCCCACAATTATTTTCCCCAGCTTGCCCCCAGTGGTCAAGCTTGAATTGTCTTTAGATTTCTAATCTGAGTTTGATACAAGGAAATGCATTGTATACACACACCCATCAGCGTTTGGATCCCCCCCCCCCACCTACCCACCTACCCATCAACTGCTCCAAAGCCAACTCACTTCCATAGCTGCCAGGCATCTTTCCCCCTCCCTGCTCAGGAGGCTTCCCCTCTCCCCTTGGGTCTGAGATAACCCTATGCATTCACGTGCTCTGATCCCAATTCGCAGAGCAGAGAGCCGAGGGGGAGACACTCAGATGCTCTGCTTTGTACCTGCGTTCAAAGGCAGCATCTGCTGCGTCTGTGGGACCATCTGTTGCTCACTTTGACATAGAAAAGATAGTGCAGGCCTCAGGAGCGGTGTCACAGGTCACACACACCCAGGCATATGCTCCATAGTCACCAGAGCTTACATCATCACCCCCATCCAGGACTTTATTTTCTCGTGAGGAATGGTATTGCTAAACTCTCACAAAGGGTCAAGTCTGCTTGGTTTTTAGTTTTCTGCTAAAAGGAAAAAAAGAAGATTGTTATTTTTTCTTTGCTTTTAAATCTGGATTTCCTGAATATCAATTATTAAATTCTCTAATTTCAGGCTCTAACTAGAGCTGGGTCTTCCCCTAACTCACTCAAGGTCTTATCAGTCTTTATGGGCATATCACCTACAAAGTGAGATCTGAACGTTGATCACCCAGGCTCCCTTGCGCTCAAACTCAACGTTAAGCCAATTCAAAAACATTAAGAAAACCCAACAAGGATCAGCCGTACAGTCTAAGACTCTTAGTGCCGAGGACAGGAGGGGCCACCGCAGGTGAAAAGGCTTCTAAGACACAGCCTGTGTTGAGCAACAAGAAATCGGGTGAAGACCCAAATTAAATGAAGATCCCTAAATTTACTAACATCTGACTGACTTAGGGGAACGCTCTAGAACAGGGCTTGGTCCAGATAGGCCACTGTGTGTTCTGGACATTGCAGGATATTTAACAGCATCCCAGATCTCTATTCAACAGACACTGGTTGCATTTCCCTACCCTCAGCTATCATAACCAAAATACAATTTGCCAGGATTGCCTTCAGACCGGATGCCACCTCCTCTTCCTGGGAACTACTGCTAAAACACACTGCAAAGATTTAAGACAAACACATCACTCGGGAGGGGGAGGCGTCTGTGTTTCAGATGGACGGCATTCCCACGACTAATAGTTAAGCACAGAGAGACTCAGTGACACAGGTATTCTTGGAAGCTGTGTAAAGCTCTTGTCTTTCCCCCTGTCACCCGCGTCACTACCTCTCTGCCCATGGCTGAAATGTAGCATCCTGTAAGGTCACCTGCCATAGCCACAACCCTGGCTGCTTTTAAACGTATGCAAAACTCATCAAGACTCCTGACATGATTTCTTCGTTATACTCCACAGCCCACCATGCCCAGAAGTCTTCAACACTGATGAAAGTAGTGAAGATCAGAGTTTGGTCAAGTCAAGTTTGGCTTTTTCCTCCCTGCCCTGGGAAAGCCAGCTAAAGTGCTCAGCTTTGACCAGAGTGGTTGAAGAGGTGTGTTAAGTCTTCACCCATCTTCTTAGCTAGCTTTTTTGTCCCCCTCTTCTTCCCGTAGGATGGAGCAGACATCTCTGCAGTCATTCTCACCCCGAAAGAGCAGCAGCTGCCAGCTGCAGGGAAACCGACTGAGCCTGAAAATGGACTGCGAAGATGACTGCTCTTAACCAAACATCTCATTTTGCCGCTTGTGAGAGTTTGCAAACTTCCCTGCCTCGGGAGTAAACGCTACATTAGCTGAGAGCAAAAGCCGACTCCCCTCCCCTTTAAAGGCCTTGGTCCAAGTTTGGAGACACTGCACAGAGTTTCTTAATGATTCCCGATGTTTAAATTCCACAATGAATTTATCAGGAAAAAATAAACAAATAAAGATCTTTTAAACAACTAAGTCCGAGATATGAACAGGGAACCTGGAAAGACCCAACAGTTGCTTTTCAGAGAACCTTAGCTCTCTATTAAAACTAATATTTACCCAATTGAAGCCAATGGCACTAGGCATATTCTGTTAAAACACTAGGCCACTCTAAAGGTTTATTTATCCCAAATCCAACTACCCAGTTGCTATCCTACCAAGAACAAAGAATTCAAGTGCTCCCAAGGGCAAAAGTTTAACCCTATGGAGCTGTGGACCATATTTGGAGCCTCCCAGCTAAATCCAGACATTTGAAGCCCAGAGGGGGGGGGGGGAATCTCAAACGTCCAAATTAAACCCACGTTGGAAGCTTAGTTACAAGCATCATCGTAACTAAAAAATTTACATCTGTAACTCACACATTCAGATTCTGGAGGGAAACGTGGCTGGCAAATATTTATACTAACGGACTCCACATTTTATATCTCTTCTAGACCCCTCACAGCTGCGACTGGCTATAACTAGCATCCTAGAAATCTCGAGTTATTTCAGAACCACAAAAGGAAGACTTCCAGGGAAAAGGGCTGGGCCGGGCTAAAGGGTTTCCAGCCCTAATCGGTACACAGAAAAGGCTGCAGGAGTCTATCCCCCTCACTTAAGAGAGAAAGGTAAGGGAGGGACCGCTGGAAGGAGATTGGATTTGTTAAGCTTTTCCAAACAGGAAATCCCAATCCGGGAAGGGACAGCCCGTCAGCCTTTTAATTTCCTGGCGGTGGCAGGAGTTAGCCAGGTCCTTGGTGCCTCAAGTGCCGATTGCTAAGGCAAAGTTACTGAGCGCACCAAGAACAGTTCGGTTGCTCCCTGCCGTGAAGGGAGCTGGTGAAACTGAGGCTCGAAATGATCCCAGGACTTACGGCTGCCTGCCGTCACTAAAAGGGCAAAGGGAGCAGCACACCATCAACGTTTCGGAAAACGATAGCTGAATCGCCATCAAGGGCTCCTGGTGAGTATCTCGGTCGGGAGGCTCACCCTGCAGCCTCACTCTAGAAACAAAGTATGGCTAGAAGCCTAATTCAAAAAGATCCTCTCGGAGTCCCATAATCTAGCTGTGGACTTTCTCTTTCCCCGGGGTCCACATCTCTGCTTAATCAATCTAGAGTTTCCGCGAAAGTTACCTTCGGGACCCTTAATTGAACCCTGCCTTTTCGCCACAACCACTCTGGATGCGTTATCCCTACTGGACACCCCTTCCTCACAAGCCCTCCACTCCACATCGTTATGCATGGGGGGGGGGGGGCAGAGTATCCTAGGGTTGTACGGTTCGGGCTTTACCGACCCCTGCCCGGGCTTTTGTCCCTACAGCCTGCTTCCCTTGCAAAGAAAATCTGCGCCCAAGGCGCCCACTCACCAACTCATCTTTCTTTGGAGCCGCAGTTCTCTCCACGGGTCCGGCTGCCCTTGGGCCTGGCCCTCAGCCTGGTCCTCCCTCCCTAGGGAGTCCTAGTCCGGTTCCCCTCCCGCAGTCGCCGCAGCCGCCACTGCCGCCACAGCCTAGCAGCCAGCCAGTTCTTGCAGTCGAGCACCGCGCACTCCAGGCGCCCCTCCCGGTGGGGGCGGCCACCGCCTCCTCTCCGCCCCCGACCTCCGCGGCGCGACAGGCGGCTACCAATTCGGCTGCGGGGGAGTCTGTGTCCCCAAGCAGCCACTAGGGTGCGCAAAGGCAACTCAGCGCGCTCCTCCAGGCCCACTGGAGCCCCCTACTCACCTGAGGTGACAAGGCCACCGAGGGCCGGCGACTACAGAAGGCAAAGGCACCGCTTTGCTCTGTGCCACACTCAGCAGCGCCCCTCGGACCGCGATGGTGGACTCCACGTAGCTCAGTCCTGGCCCCGACCCCCTTCTGAAGCCCAGCAAGCGGGTCCTCCGGGTTCCAGCTGGGAAGTCCCGGAGCCTTCCTGCTCCTGGACAGCAAAGTGGTTGGTGCTTTTACTGCTGCAGAAGTGGGCTGGCTGTTCGTCCCATCATCCGGCTCCACTTTCTCAAAGCTGTGTTCGCAGCAGTATAGTGGAAACCTTTGTGCTTGGTCTCTCTCTCTCTCTCTCTCTCTCTCTCTCTCTCTCTCTCTCTCTCTCTCTCTCTCTCTCTCTCTCTCTCTCTCTCTCTCTCAATGGACGGGAGAACACACGTCCTCGGGTGGTGATTTCCTCCCCAATGATGAAGTTTCTGCTCTGTGAAACTCCAGGTGACCGCACCTCTACCAGACACTGTTCTTCCCCCGGGGCAGGTTTACCTGATGCGTCAGAAAAGCAGCTGTGCCAAACAGCAATGGAACAGCCTGGGGTCAGGAGACTTCAAACTCCGTAGTACTGATTTCTTTGGCATGGGGTCTCATAAACGGTTCTGTGTTTTCCATATAGTTAACATAACCAGTGAAAACTAATGTAGACTTTTTTCCACCATTGCTTCCCTGGGAGGTTACGAAATAGACTGGGATAGACTGGGGACACCCACAGTCCATGTAGACACGGGCAAATGTAGCTCTTTGCAAAGTGGGGTTTCAACGATGAAAGACAACCCTGGAGGAACTCACAGGGTAAGGAAAGCACAAGGACCCGCAAACTCTAATTAATAACCATGTAGCCTGGACAAGTTGTTTTAGCTACCAGCAAGGATGTCTCCAAGACGGTAGCAGAGCAACAGAGGTACCGGTGATGCCTGCGCCACGAGGCAATTAATCAGCCTCTGCTTCGTGTATGTAAAATGTCTGAACTGTGAGTACACTCACTTAACGGAATGTCTGTTTAAAATGTTACATTTGTGTAAGTAAAAGTCCGAATTTTTAAATTAAATATATTTTACTATTTATATGTATGTGTGTTTTGTGTATGTGTGTGCACGTGAATGCAGATAAGGGGGCAGTGGGGGAAGAAGAAACGGTTGTGAACCTCTCGAAGTGAGTTTTGACAACTAGACTCGGATCCTCTACAAGAGCGGTGCAGCTCTTAGAAGCTACACAACCTCATCAGTCCCTAAAGTTTGACTTTTAATTTATGCTATAAGATTGGTTAGCATTTTCGAGTATTCTCTGCTCATCACCACCCCAGTAGCATTTATTCCACATCAATAATAAATTCACATCAACTTAAAATCACTTATAACATCTCAATAAAAATAAGACACTTTTGCCTTTGTTTACGTTTCTATTCACTTACGGCTTAACTTTAACAAAACACCTTTCAAGAATTAAGAAACTCTGTCCACTTTCTGCCTTCTCATTTACTCCATTCAGAAGTTGCCTTTATTATAAGTGTCCCCTTGAGCTTGAAGCTCACAACTGAAAGATTGCTCCTTCACAGGCCTGGTGGTACCTGAGGGTAATCCTAGTCCTTGAGAAGCTGATGCAAGAGAACCAGCCTGGTCTACAGAGCTAGTTCCAGGACAGGCTCCAAAGCCACAGAGAAACCCTGTCTCGAAAAACCAAAAAAAAAAAAAAAAAAAAAAAAGAAATCCACACAAGTTTGGGCCTCACAACAATTTGGGACCAGCCTGAGCTACGTAGTGAAGACCAGACTTAAAACACCAAAAACTGCCTATTGAAATCAATGTGGTGGTTCCTCAGAAAATTGTGACTCAATCTACCATAAAATCCAGCTGTACCACTCTTGGGCATATACCTAAGGGACCCTCCATCCTACCACAAGGACAGTTGCTCAGCTTTGTTCATTGTAGTTTCATTCATAATAGCCAGAAACTGAAAACAACCTAGATGTCCTCAACCAATGAATGAAGAAAGTGGTACATTTACACAAAGCTGTATGACTCAGCTGTTAAAGACAATGACATCATGAAATTTGTAGGCAAATGGACAGAACTAGAAAAAAAAATTCATTGTGAGTTAGGCAACCCAGACCCAGAAAGACAAACATGGAATGTACTCACTTAAAAATAAGTATTAGCTGTTAAGTAAATGGTAATCAAACTACATTCCATAGTCCCAGAGAGGGTAGGAAAAAGGAGGGCTCTATGGGGGATGCATGGATCTCCCTGGGAAGGGGAACTGGAATAGATTTTGTGGTTGGACTAGAGGCAGGAAAGATGGGAGTGGAGGGATCAGTTGTGTGGGGAAGGGGGAAGGCACCAATGACTGCTCATGTATGAGCAAATTCCAGTACTGCTTTCTTAGCACTGAGGGTGGGGGGACACCTCTCACCCCCGTGCAGCAATTACCAGCTGAAATCTAGTTCCTTCCGTCTTCTTGTTTCCTTTGGCCTAATGGCTGAGTACCCAGAGTTCAGATTTGGGACCTATATTCAATCTACTGCTTCCATTACTGCTGTCTTTGTGTCCCATGGAACTAAATCCCATCATGTGTCCACTATTCACACATTGCATCTCCAGACCAACCCTCTTCTCATATCTCAGGCCCCTGGCAGCTACCCATGTGGCTACCTACTGACCTACTAGTTACTGTTCTCAATGCTGATTCCCTGAAATGTTTTCCCCTGTCTCCAACCACTCTTTTCCAACTGAAGTCATCCCCATATCAGATCTAAAACTTTACATCATCCTCAAATTTAATTTCTCTCCAATGCCTCAGGAAGTCTTTCCTGCTTTTTCTAAAATAAATTAAAAATTCAGCTACTGACGACCTCACTGCTAATCTCCATCTAGATCTCATCTGCCATACTGTCTTGGCTTGACCCTTGCTCTCTTGCAGGATATTGTCGGCCCAGACACTAGGGTGATCACTGTAAAATGTTAGGCGACACAATCTACTCCTTTCCTTAAAATTCCGCGGTGACCCTATTCAGTTCAAGCAAAAGCCATGTGGGGGCCTAGAAGGACATTGCTGACCCACTCTTCTCTAACATCACCTCCTGTTTCTTTCACCCAGTTTTCGACACCATGTCCTCCTTGATATCCCTGCCTTTGTTTTCTGGAAACTGCATCTGCCTCAGGATCCCTGAGCTAGCAGCCTGTCTGTCCCAAGCTCCCCAACCCTCCATACAGATGCAGTGGCATCTGTATAGCTTGGCCCCTCACTTCCTTTGCTCAAATGTAACCATGTTACTCATGCCTTTCCTGACCACTCTTCTTAAAGTTTAAGATGAACTTTGCATATCAACACGTTTCTCCGTTTTGTAATTGTAATTTGTAGTCTCATGTGTCAGTCATCTTTCTGTTACTGTAACGAATAACTGAGATGATAAACTCATAAAGGGAAAGGTGTGTTTGGCTCCCAGTTTTGGAGGTTTCAGGACAAAACTGACTGGCTCTGTCGCTTTTGGTCTGTGACAAGGCAGCACATCCAATTCCTCACCTCATTCCTAGGAATAAGAGGGTGAGGCTGGTGGCTGATATTACCATCTCTTCAGTGACTTCTACCTTCCATTTTCTTTTTCTTTTCTTTTTTAAAAGACATTAAGATATGGTCACCATATTTCACTGGCTGGCCTAGGACTCCCTGTGTAGACCAAGATGACCTGAATTCAGAGATCTGCCTGCCTCTGCCTCCGGAGTCCTGGGATTAAAGCTGTACAGCATCACAGTGGATTTAGGGTTTTACTTCTTAAATCTTCCATCTCCTCTCAACAATACGGTAAGCTGGGGACCAAGTCTTCAACCAGGGGGCTTTTGGGCAACATTCCTGATCTCTAGGCGTAAACTGTAGAAGTCACAAAGCATAGTCCTAAATTAACATTAGTATCTGTGTTAGTCTCACTGGAATGGAAGTTCCAGACAGACAGGGATTTTTATCTGTTCCTCCACATGCTGTATCACTAACACACCTGGAATGTTCCCTGACATAGAGTACACATGCATGAACGAATGGCAATTTTGACCCAATGCTTACAGATATTTCCCTGTCGAAAATGCGGTAACTAACATACTTAGCCTAGATAATTGCTCTGCAAGGAATAGATGCACTAACATAGTATACACAAACAAGCTATATTTAAATTGCTAATATTCATGACTGAGAAAAATATCACTGATATTTATTAAAACAACACTTACTGTATGGATCATTCTTTTAAGTATACGGTGGTATTGAGAAGTGCTCTATACCATAATGGACACCATGCTACTGTGTCCACATTGTAAGGGAAAAAACAGACACCAGAAAGTCACATTTGCCCAAGCATTTGAATTAGTAGAGGCAGAGTCTGAGTGCAGACAGCAGGAGTCTAGAGTGCCTACACCCTTAAATGTTACCTCACCTTTTCTCTAGCATGAATACCATCAGAGGAATGTCTGCAGAGTGACTAATTCCTAATCAGTAGACAAAGCTAATGTCCACCGTCCTGCTGTCTCTGATGATAGCTACATTCCTCACAGGACAAGGGGTCATGTTATTCATATTTACGTGAATCACACTCTGGGGCTGGGGAGATAGGGAGAGGGGCTATCAGAAAGTACTTATTTCATGTGATTTTTAAAGTACTCAGCGCAGCAGAGCTTCTCTTGATGACTCAGTATGGTTTTCCCTCTGTTTTATAATACCAGGGCAGCCTGAAGACAGAAGAGATCCACCCGAAGGTACAAGTGGTAAATGAAATTAAGTGTTAAACTGAGACCTTTAATCTCCTAACACATGGGGGGGGGGTCACTCAGTAAATAACTACTACCAGCAGCAGTGCCAGACTCACTTAGAGAAGGACCTAAGCTCCCGTCTTTTACCTTTCCATATTCTGAGTCCCATTTTATCTTATATTTACTTATTTATTTTAAATAACTCACTGACACTGGTTTTGAACTTCTAAACCTCACACCTCCATCTTCCGAATGCTGGGATTGCGGTCCCCATTATACCCCCTTTATGGAATACTGAGCATTGAGCTTTGGGCCTGACAGGCAAGAGTGTTACCAACTGTGCTATGGCCCCCAACCCACATATGGTTTTTTGTTTTTGTTTTTGTTTTTGTAAAATTCTCTCTTTCGTTATAAATTAGAGTCTTGTCTCCTAGCCTCTGCCATTCCTAGTCAGCCACTTAGGGTGCAGGCTGGAAACTGCACAGCATTCCTCCCATCGTTGTTTACCTCTCTGGGATCAAACTAATTATAAAATTTGTTCTTATCTGACTTCAACTTCTCAAGTGGGGAAAAGTAAAGTTTTGTCTCTGTCTCTCTCTGACACACACACACACAGGACAGCTAAAATAATTCTAACAATAAAAGAACGGCTGGGGGCATTGCCATTCCTGATTTTAAGTTATGTACAGAGACATAGTAATAAAGACAGCATGGCACTGTCGTAAAAACAGACACATGGATCAATGAAATAGAATTGAAGACATAAACATAAGTTCACACACCCATGGACACCTGATTTTTAATAAAGAAGCCAAAAATATATATTCATTGGAGAAAAGACAGCGTCTTCAACAAATGGTGCTGGTCAAACCAGTTAGCTGCATGTAAAAAAAAGGCAAACAGATCCAAACTATCACTTTATACAAAAATCAATTACAAATGGATCAAAGTCCTCAGCATAAGACCCGCTCACACAAATCTGATACAAAAGGAAGTAGGGAACGCGCTTAAATTCATCAGCACAGGAAAGGTCTTTTTTTTTATCAGAACCCTGATAGCACAGACATTAAGATCAATAATTAATAAATGGACCTCACAAAACTAAAATTCTTCTGTGTACCCAAGGACACTGTCATTCAAGTGAAAAGGCAGCCTATAGAATGAGGGAAAAAAACCTTTACCACCTATACATCTGACAGAGGTTAGTAAGTAGAATAAGGAAATAATAAACAAAGAAACTGAATATCAAGAAAATAAACAATTTAATTTAGAAATGGGCTACAGAGCTAAAGTGTACTTTCAGAAGA